CGCGGGTCGCGGCTCCCGGCAGGCGGTGGCATCTTGCAGCCGGCGCCTGCCCGGGAGGCCGGTGCGCGCACCTGGCCCTCGGCGCCCTCGGCTCCGTCGGGCGCCTTTCGCGCAGCTCCGCCCGGCTGCGCGCTGGGCAGGACCCGGGCGGGACTCGGGCGGAGGGAGCGGGTGGCCCCCGGCGGGAGCCCGGGAGCGGCGAGCGCGTGGGCTCGGCTGACTGCCGGGCGCGACGGGCGGTGACGTGGGGGCGGGAAGGGGCCTCCGCCGGCTCCGCTCCGCGCCGGCCTGGAGCGCTGAGGGGGCTTGACGGGAACGGGAATTCTGGACGCCGGCGGGCGGACGGGGCGCTTCCGCCCGGCAGCAGTGTGGTTGCGGAATGAATTCAGGTCCGTGAACCCGGAGCCCAGGAGGAGGCCCGCAGTTTTCAACTCGGTCCCCCAGAGTCGGCATGAAAATCATTTTAAACTAAAGATATTTGCGATTCAGCACAAACAGAAAGACGCTTTCTCAGAGCTTAACTTGTCACTAAAAAGCAGAAACTCCTGGGAGTGAGGCTGCCGTGCATCCTCTCTGCTGGGGGGTTTATGGCCATGAAGGGAAAAAAGCACCACTTGGCACTTGCATAAACAGACAACACGGCAGACTTTCTTATCGCCCTTTGTTCCCCCTGGAAACCCATTGGTTCTTCCGATAAGAGCCTTTTTCCCTCCGGCCCAGAGTTAGCTTCTATCACGAGCCACGCGGGGAGCTATCCCTTTTGTTAGCGGCCATGTGTGTATTAAGAAACTTTGTTTTTTTTCCTCCTGTTGATGTCAGTTACATTTGCAGACCCCCCCCCCCCCCCACACACACACACACACTCACACTGAACCTGAGCGGGTGGAGGAAATGTCCTCCCCTCCCCCTGGCACACTTGACCAGGCAGCATTGAGGAAGCTCCCTTTCCCCTCAGGCAGCCCACGCGGGGCGACTTGGGTGGCTCTGACCTCTGTGCCCTTGCAGTGCGCTGCTCTCTCTATGGGAACCTCCTCCACTGTTGGCTTTTTAAGGTCACATATGGTTTTGCAGATTTCTAATAGAAACAGTTAGGTTCTTGTGGGACCAAGGCACAGACACCCTGCTCGTACGTCCTGTGGTGCCCGTGACATTGGTGGCGAGGTGCTGATGCCCTTTTGTGCTGTTCTGTAGGTCTCGGGCTGGTACCACCTGATTCCCTTCACCTGGGCCCGCATCGCCAGGCAGACTCCTCGCCTTGGAGACCAGGAAAGGACACCGGCTTCCTTGTTGCGTAAACTGACCACAGCGTCCCCCGGAGGGGGCCTTGAGGAGCGACCCTGTGCTGAACCCAGAAAGCGTGTGCAGGAACCAGAGTGCAGGACACATCTACCTCAGAGCCTCCTCGAGCAGCAGAGAGCTCCTGTGCGTGGAGGGTCCTTGGAGCGAGAGGAGGTCGTCAGCTTTCTCCTGGACATGGGGTTCAGTGACGTCCATGCTAATGAACTGCTCACTGTGCAACCAGGTACCCACCCGCAACAGCTGCTGGATATCGTTTCAGAATTAATACTCTTGGGTGTGAATCCAGAGCCTGTGTATGTGGCCTTGAAGAAAAGCCCTCAGTTATTGAAACTGCCTGTAATGCAGATGAAGAAGCGCTCCAGTTACCTGCGAAAGCTTGGCCTTGGAGAAGGTAAAGGTGTAGCTTTTCTATGTAGCGCCCAGGGGTCCCAGCTGGGGAACAAGTCTCCTAGGCGAGCTGGATTAGGGGAGGCTTCTGGGGAAGGCCCTTGGGAGCAATGTGTGATTTGGTTTGGAGGTGAGGAGGAGGAGTGGTCTCTTCTCAGGCGCTGCAGGAGGGGACGGGGCAGTTGAGTGGTAGGCAGAGACTCTTGTTCGCTGTGAGGGCTCAGCGTGTAGGACGTGGGCACACGGCAGCAGCTCACAGGTGGATGTCAGCCTGCAGTGTTGATAATGTGTACACATGTCAGCTTTGATGTTTAAATTAGCTGGAGGTGGCCTTACTGCTTTGTTTCTGATGTAAAGCCAGAGCCACACAGGGTCCCTGGTAAAGACTTGGATTCCAGCTGGGTGTTTTGATTTACTGTGGACCGTGAGATCTTCCCAGATTCCTGGGAAATGGTGGATAGCCGTTCCCTCCAGCTGCCTCCTCCACTCCCCATAAGATTCATGCCTCCAGGAGCCTAGAGAAGTTCACCGGGTCTCCTTATGGCCGTCTGGAGAAGGGGGCTGGCGCCCATGAGGGTCTCCACGGAGCCCCACCCACTTTGACCAGAGGAGCTCCACTGTTCTTTTTTTCATTCTTGACTCTCACTGTTAGATGTTGGGGGAGAAAAGGTTTGCGGAGCCACTATTTCAGAGGACCCCTCTAGGCCTCCTCCAGAAGTTAAGTAAAAAGACAGCCAGCCTTGTGTGTTTCTCTTACCAGATGACTTGTGCAGTATAATCGGAAAGGCTAAACTGAAGACCTGTGTGCCCTGGTGATAAATTAGCAAGCTCAGCACGGCCTTAAGTGGCAAAGATAAACTCTAAACTTTTAAAATTCAATTCTGACACATTTTAGCAAGTCAACGACTTACTCAACTGACGAACATTTCAACTGCAGCTTAAAGAAGCGACTTGAAGTTTCCAAGTACTAACTTTGACCAACTATCCGTAGGAGACCATGTGCCTCAATTCGCCTAAGGTAGCCTCAGTTCATACCAGTTATCCTAATGCAATTAACAGGGCATCTTGTCACTCAGAAGTGCCCCAGTTTGGATAAAATACGTGGTCACCCCACTAGCTAGGACATCAATATTTGTGCTGGTTGTTGTTATTATGTTACTTGCGTGGAACTCCTTCTCTTTGAGTTCAGGCCCCGGGTCTTAGGAATGTTGATGGTGAGGTCCGATGACAGTTTTATTATGGAAGGAAGCCTCAACCCAAAGCTCCACCGTGGGGGGACGCTGCTCCCCTCTCTTCCTGTTTGACCTTTCCAGGAAATCCCTGTGAAAGCCTTTCCCAGGTGAGGAGGGCAGGTGCCTGTCAGCCGGGAGGCCAGAGAGAGGCAGGAGCGCGGGCCAGGGCGGGCTGGAGAGTCCGAGTGAGGGGTCAGCGGGGAGCTGGGCCGCGCTGACCGCTCCCACGCCCCGGGTGCTGCTGGGAAGGCCTGTGAGGCCCGCGCTGGTTCTGTGGGGGTGGGGCTCCTTGGTCGTTTTGAAATGCTGGCTTGAGTTGGGTGAGCGTCACTAGCCTCTTGGTGTCTGGAACACCCTGAAATTACGTACTCGCCCTTTTCTGGGTTCTGCAGGGAAGCTGAGGAGGGTGCTTCAGTGTTGCCCTGAAATCCTCACCATGCGTCAGCGGGACATTGCCGGCACTGTCCGGGTTCTCCGGGAGAAGTGCCTTTTCACCGTGCAGCAAGTGACCGAGATTTTGCACAGATGCCCGTACGTTCTTCGGGAGGACCCTGATGAGCTGGAATACAAATTCCAGGTGAGATGACCGAGAGAGCGGCTCGGGGAGTGACAGTGGGCTTTCCAACTTAGCAGGGGCAGCTGTGTGGGTAAGACACCTCGGCCGCCTGGCAGCCGAAGAGACAGACCAGCTCGGTCTGTCACTTGTTCATTTCAGCCAAGGTTGCTTCTGCGGCTTTTCTGCCATTAATGCTGAAGGACCCATCCCTGTTCTTAGGGCCCACATAGGCCTGTTTAAAAGTAGCTAAAACCTTCCCTCTTTACAACCTGTGTAGCATGTTGATTACAGAAATGTGATTGTGACAGTTGTCCTCATTTTTCTGGTAACCATTATGATGATGTGGGACGGATCCCTGTGTTTTCTGATTTGCGGCCTATTCTCCCCAGACTCATGGCTTTCTCCCTCCGTCTGAACAGCAGTGGGACTCAGTCTCTCCCTCCTGCCCTTTAGTCCCTGCTGCTTTGTTCTCAACAGGATTTTGAAAACCCTTTGAAGACTGTCAGCTATCAGACAGACGTGGGTGTCAGAGTTGGGCTGCCGCCGCCCACTAGGCAGCTCTTGAATGCTTTTGACAGGTTGAGTCTCCCGTGACTGGGATGGCGGATTTCAGATGTGCACCTGAGGCCCTAACCTGTCTGTGTCCTCAGTACGCTTATTTTAGGATGGGGGTGAAGCACGCGGATGTGGTGAGGACCGACTTCCTGCAGTACTCCATCACCAAGATCAGGCAGAGACACACATTCCTGGAGCGCCTAGGACGGTACCAGACCCCGGATAAGAAGGGGCAGACACAGGTCCCCAACCCTCCACTCAAGGACATCCTCAGAGTTTCAGAAGCCGAGTTTCTGGCCAGGACGGCCTGTTCTTCTGTGGAGGAGTTTGAAGTTTTTAAGAAGCTCTTGGCTCAGGAGGAGGAAGAAGAGTCTGAGCACCGCATGTCTGGTGACAAAAGCACCAGTGAGGACGAGGAGGACAGGGAGGGGCAGGGGGAGCTGTGACACAGGCACCGGAAGGAGCCGGGCCCGGAGATGTCAAAGAAACTTCTCGTTTTCTCAGCACCTTTGGGAGCTTCACGTGGATCCTCTCAGGTTACTTTTCATTCTAAAACTGGTCTTTGGATGAAAAATTATTATCAATCACCTGAGACGTAGTCAGACTAAGGGGAAGGTGTGTTAGTTTGATGTGTTGTCAGGTCTCTGTTCCTTTATGAATAAAAGACTGACTTTGAGCCGTTAAAATCAGGGGAACTCAATACATCAAAACTTGGTTTTATTTTTCTGTCGTGTATGTAGGTGATAATTTATGGCAGTGTGGGGGACAAGATTCCTTCTGGTTCAAGAGTCATTTCCTGTGTCCTTCTAGTGATGAAGGTGAAATTAGGAGAAGGCAGTGAGGTTTTAGTACATCACAGCACTTTATTTTATGAAAACAAATAGCAGGTTTTCCACACAAATACTCATGTTTTTAATTAAAAAATATTGCTTCATAATTGCATTCAGTGTACAGCAGAGTAGAAGGAAGTGGGTTAGTGACACATGGCTTCATTCTGCATAGCTTCTTCGTGCCGGCGACATGCTGGGGCAGTTTTCTCTGTCTCTGTGAGAAACAGGCCTGGCTCTGGCCCCTGGGAAGTTTGCTGTTGTGCCAGCTTGTGGCCAGTGGGTCACAGCCAGGCCTGCAGTCTCTGGAAGCCATAGAATGCCAGCACAGAGGGGCCGTGGAGCTGTCCTCGCCGACCCTTCTGCTCACGTCACAGAGGGGTGTCTGAGACCGGAGGACAGAGCACTTGCCCAGGGTTGGGCATGGCGGGGCCTGGGGTGGGGGGCTGGTCTTGGGTCATCCCAGGGAGCTCTCTATGACACCAGAGGGGAGGATGTCCCCTTGGGGAGCCCAGTGGGTCTTCGGAGTGCCTGGAAGCGTTGGGGTCAGGGAATGGAGTTTGATGTAAGCCAGGGTCACCTCTGAGGTAGAGGCCCAGCCCTAATGGCATGAGCTCTGTAACAGAGGGAGGGTTGGTGCGACCTAGGACATTCTGGGCACCCCTTCCTTGGGGGAACTGGCACAGGACCAGTGCTGCAGAAAACATGTTTGGTGATGTGACTAAAATTCAGGCCTTGGCAGCATTTTAACAACTACGTGAGACTCCTAGCTCTTGGCCTTCTGTTTGTAGACCACATAAGAATTGTGTCAGGCAGCCATTCTCACCTGGGGATAATCTGGGTCCCAGGGAACATCTGGGACTCTTCTGGTTGTCAGGACCAGGAGAGGGTGCACTTGGGATCTGGTGGGTGAGGCCAGGTCTGTTAAATGCCCTGCAGTGCATGGGACAGTCCCACAACACATGACCAAGCTCCAGATGTCAACAGGGCTGAGGCAAACTGCTGTGAGGCCGGGCCTGGCAACACATGACTGTCGTTTTGTGAGAACTTCAGATTCAAATGCCCCGCATTTATCGTATTTGATTTAAAAGACCAGTAAGTCGCAGGTTTTTTAAGAGTCTCTTCCTCCGTGTCCTGGAGTGCTGTCGATGGGTTTCAGCTGTATTTTACTGGAGGATTCGGTGCTGAATCAAAAGAATTCATGCTTTTTTCTCCAGTCTCATGTTTGAGCATGGCCGCAAAGAGAAGGACATTTTTTGCAAAAGAAAAGGCTCAGTGACTCCCTCCACACGTGGCTGTGGCTTGACAGCAGGAGCAGTTCCATCTATGGGAAGGTGCTGGGGTGGCTGGCACCGGGTGGGCCCTGCCTGCTGGGTTCGCAGGTGGGAGGCAGTCGGGGCAGCGTGCATTTCCTCATTCGCCTGTGACAGCCCAGGTGCAGCAGAGGAAAAGGGACATGTGGTCTTCATTGTCTTTCTTGGCCATGGACAAAATTACTTGAAAATGAAGACATTTCACTCTGTGCCAGTGTTTTCACTTTCTTGCATTTTGTGGCATCTAAGTGCCCGACACTCCCCAGACCTGGACTGTTGTCCTCGTGCCCAGGCGGGCTGAGTGGGCACCTGGTTAGATGCCCACTGATTAGATGAACACTTGATTAGATGGCGAGTTCTTCCAAGTTTGGTCAGCAGATGGTGAGTGCAGCGACTTGTGGTTCCCTCCTCTCCTCCTGACACAAATAAATGCTTATTTGATTCCGTGATTACTGATTTCCATGAGTGGACTTGGAGTGTTTTCAAGGACGACTAATATTAGAGTTTTAGGAAGGAGCCATGTGATGAAGGCAGTGGCTCATTTCGAATGTTCCAGGATGAATGGTAATTCCTTTAGCATCAGGAAGTCTTTACTATTGTAGATACTCAGTCTGTAAAGCATACAAGTGGGTTAATTGGACGGCAGCATAGCGCCAAGCTCTGGCAAGTGTCCTGGAGAAACGAGTGCTGCAGAGTGAGAACCTGGAGCGCAGTAGCCTGGCTTCGTGGCCAAGGGGCTTGAGGTCGGAGAGTCTCAGCTACATTCAGTGACGTCACTTGGTCATGCCATTTGCTAGAGATGCCGTAGCTTACACAGACGCGGTGACAGGTCCCAGTGCCGCAGCAGCGGTCAGCAGTACATGTTTGTGTGCGTGGTTTTCTGGTTCACACAGGTGGGCCCTGGAGACCGGACATTCTGGAATCCAGTAGACACTTAAAGAAATGATGGTTCCTCCTTTCTGAAAATGACAAATTGCATAATACACAGACGTAGGCACACACAAGTTTAATAAGAATAAAAAGTTTAAAGTATACTCTAACTCTTCAAAAATGTTTTTATGAAAGATGAAAGGAGGGGCATTTCCGGTGGTGTAAAGCTGACTTGGGGCAGAGTCTGTGGGAGAGCACAGGGGCTTGTGTCCCAGCAGGGTCACTGACTGTGACCTCCACACGGGTGAAGACGGCTGGTCTCTTTTGTTCTGAGCTCCTCAGGGAAAAGAGAGCTGGTGGGAGTGAGCTGACTGCAGGGGTCACGGTGAGGTGACACAGCACTCTGCAGGTGAGGTGACACAGCACTCTGCAGCTGGCGATGCTTTGTGAGGATATGCGGGGACCCCTGGCAGGCCACAGTGAGTGGCGGACAGGGATCTCACACATGATCTGGCTTAGCCAGCCCACTGCCCGTCTTCAGTACCCAGAGCTGTAAGGAGGAGCCCTTGCTGCCAGCTCGGTACCTTCCAGCGGGGTCAGTTTAGCGCCTCTGGACACCCTGGGGTCTTCGGTGCCCTGGTGTGACGTGTCATCGGGGATGGCTTCCAGCAGGGTCTGGGTAGCACCTCTGTGACACGGGAGTCTTTGGTGCCCAGGTGTGACATGTCATCGGGGATGGCTTTCTGCATAAGGCTAAAGCCTGAGTGGGGGTTAGCCAGGGATGGCCATGGGACGTGGCCCCCGTTTTTGTAAATAAAGTTTTATTGGATCACGGCCATACCCGTCAAGGCATGCGTTGATGGCTGTTTGCACTGTGACCCAAAGCTGAGTAGTGGCCACAGGGACCTTGTGGTCCACAAAGTCAAAAATATTGGGGGTGCCAAAAAATGTATACACCTGACTTGTATTCAACTTTTGTTGTCAGTACATATTGAGTAGTACAATTTTAATACAGTTTTTTCCTTTCTTAAAATGTGTACATTTTTGGGACACCCTCTGTATTTACTGCCTGACCCTTTACAGCAGAAGTTGTAGGCTAAGTGTGTAAACGCCATCTTAGCACTAATTACCATTTTCTCTTACACAATCATTGGTCTGTATGGTGAGCACTAGCCTGCAAGGCATCTGCGTGAATCACCTGCTGGCAGAAGCCACAGAAGCAGACCACTCGCTTTCCTTTGTGTTGCCTCCCCCCCACCCCACCCCTGCCCTCAGCTCTCCTCCCCCCAGCCCTGCCCCAGCCCCGCCCCTGTCCACTAGCCCAGCCCGCCCTCTGCTTTGGAAGCTGTGGGCAGCTGCTGCTGCTCCTCTAGATGTCAGGTCTCAAAAGGTGTGTGTGTGGGGTGGTCCTCTCTCTGGCTTTGGAATCTAGAACTGGTTTCTGGACATTGCAGAAGCTCCTGGCAGCCAGTCTCGCTCCCCCAGGGCTGATGCGCATGCTGTGTGGCTCACTGACCACGGCACAGGCTGCCCCTTGGGGACACGCGGCCTGGGTTATAGCACGGGCTGGGAGGTGCAGCGCAAGATGCAGAGATGGTGGCCCCAGGGGTTGTCCCTGGCCTGGCCGTGTGTCTGCTAGAGGCCAGAGGAGAAGCCGTGGAGGGGACAGGCTTCAGCCAGGACCTTGTCCCCCAAGGTGTCCTTTTCAATCCAATTTTAGACCTCGTCTTCCTGGGCTCTAGAAACTTGTGAGGTTGGTGGAGTGTCACAAGAACGTCCCGAATCCTTTGAAGAAAACAAAATGGGGCATGAGAATGGAACGGCGGCTTCCTGTTTCTCTTAGTGTCGGGGTTGCTGCCCCAGGTGTCAGAACTGTGAGTCCTGCTCCCTCTAAGGAGGCAGTGGGTGGGGGCGGGCCTGTGGAGGAGGACTGACCATGTCTCCTGAGAGGGACATTTGGGCTGCATCGCAACCCCCCACCCTCCATGCGGTGCAGCCCTTGGGTCCTTCCTCTGAAGGCACGTGCCGTCCCGGTCACTGGTCACTCTGGATTGGAATGGATTCTTGTGTGGTGTTCTTGGGTGTGTGTCTGGGTATATAGGTATCTGTTTCCTACCTATTTTGTTTTCTCTGTTTAAGAGCAGGTATTCTAAATCCGGTATTTGACAATAGTCAAGGATTTCTGATTTGTTTTTATAGAAATGGATTTGCTGAGTGACTTTAAAAAATACTCCTTCAGGTAACATTGCAATATACGTATTTCAAACCCAGGTATATCTGTGGCCTCTTCCCCAGTGTGAGTTGCTTGTAAGCCTTGGAGTGAGTGTTCTGGATGCATGTGTTGGGGGCATGAGGTTGGGGAGTGATGCCTTTGAGTGGACTTCATACCCCACAGGGATGCCTGCCAGGCCACATGGCGCCCCCCGCCCCGCAGATGCCCGCCTGCTTGTGCGAGGGGTCCCCCGTTAGTGTCAGCCTACAGCTGCAAAGCCCTTTGCCTCTGGCGGGTTGTCATGGGCTCTGAAGAGCATCCCTCAGCCGTATGATGACCGTGGTCTGTGTGGGGCTCCTCCCTGCTGTCCTGCTCCCAGGAAGATGGAGGGTTCAGCTCATTTGTGAGCAGGAGCAGTGAGCTGTCCTAGGCCGCCCAGAATTGTCCTTCATTCCCAGAGACACGCTGATGAGAACCTGTGGTCAGTGTGACGCTCATTACAGGCTGTAGGTGGGTCTCTAGGTTTAACCCACTATCTTCCGAACTATTGTGAGGACTTCAGCAGAGTTTACATGTGGGGACTGTGGGGTCACATGGAGTTGAGTTGCCGAAAGGGTTTGGGAAAGGCTGGATTAAACAAGGTCGAGTTAGAAAGTTTCTTTCATTTCAAGGCTTCTGATACTTAGGGTTCCTGTGTCCACTGGGAATCTCCCAGTGAGAGAGCGTCTTCAGGACTTCCCGAAAGTTATGTGGCCATGGCACCCCAGTTTTCCTTTCAATGGATGGCCTTTCACAGGGTCCAGGAAGCACTCCCTTGGGTCCCTGAGCTCCGATGGAGTGGGATTCGTCCTCACCCCAGACAGCCTCGTTTCTACCTTAAGACAGAGCTGCACCAGGCTGGCATCCATTGGGACGCCCTACTTTCTGTTCTTCTCACCCTCTTACCCCATCAGGGCATTCGGAACCCTGCCTGGGAGTCTGTAATAAAGGCACACTCGGAGCTTTCCCTGGCAGTGCTGGGAGAAGGGTTGCTGTCCCTGGGGAACGTACCTTAAGATGTCTTCAGAGTTGGACTGTCACTTTGTTTCCTAAAACAAGTAGGGAAAAGTGGTTTATGAAAAGCAGACTGTGTCCCTGTGACCCCGGCGCCCCCTCGGCCCAGACGCCTGCTGCCATCCCGTTGTTCTTTAGCTCACACACGTCTCACTTTGGGGTCACCATCCCTGTGACCCTGAGGTTAGCATTTTAGTGTGCCCACGTGACTTGAGGTGCATGTTGTGGAATGATGGGGACAGCTCCTGGCTGGATGAGTCATGGAGAGTGGAGGGAGGGTGTGGGCGGAAGAGGGCCCGGGCTCCCCGAGGGGCCCACAGGCAGCAGCCGCGTGAACTGCACTTCCCCCGACACTGAGTGACGCCCCCGTGTGTGTGGTGACTGGGGTTCGGACTCGACTCTTAGAAGTAAAACGCACTCAGGCAGTGCTTTGTATAATAATTCTAGTGACTGGCTTGAACCCTGTGGGGAAAGAACGTGGGTGTGAGTGAATAAAAAGTAAACCGATTTGCTCTATTTGCAGCCAAGCACTTAGGCCCACTGATGATGCTCCTGCTCCCCAGGTTTAGCACCAGGCACTCGTTGTACCCCCCAACTTACCCTGCGGCCCAGCACCCACCATGCCCAGCGGTACCACCGTGTTTGCGCACATGTGCACATATGTGCACAGTTTCTTAGAACATGGCCGCACAGGGCAGCACGATGTGCAGATACACAGCCTGGCCCAGCCCCTGGGCCTGTGGCATCCCACAGCACTCCGTCTCCAGGGCCGCCCTCACCCCGATACCCTGTGAACTACAGGACACAGCATGCTCCCCCTGCCCACCCCTTCCCCCCACGAGATGGCACCTGTGCGGGGTTTTCTTGACACTGGTGCTCTCACAGCTTTCTCTGAAGCAGACGTCTTGGTGCAGTTTGTAGACTCGTTTATACCTGTTGGAAGAAAGCCCCATAAAGGCCGGACCTGGAGTGGCTGCACCCAGGCCGCGTGCACCCACAGTAGCCACGCGGGCGTTGGGGGAAAGGC